TGGTAGCCCAGGCTGGCCTCAAACTCACAGAGATCCGCCTGGCTCTGCCTCCCGAGTGCTGGGATTAAAGGCGTGCGCCACCACTGCCCGGCAATTCTGGTATTTTTTAAGGTGTATTTATAATACAAGTATTGCGGTCAGACTACTAGAGATCTACTACTTCAATCAGACAAATGGAGGGGTGCTTTCAAAGCCCAAGAAGGTGCTTCAGTCCAAGGCTGAAAAACCTAAAACTCAAACTCACATATGGAGGTGCACATCTGTAATCCCAGCACTCAGGAGACTGAGGCAGTAAAATACTGAGTTCAAGGCCAGTTTAGAATGTATAGTGAGACTATCTTTAAAAAATAAAACAAAAAGATAGTTGTGCATAATATAAATATGAAAATAACCATAGTCTTGAAGTCAGAATAAGTAAAGAGAATATCTGAAAGAATGAATTCTATTTTAAAAATTACTTTGATCTTGATAGCAAAATAAGGACCACATAATTTGCCTATATATACTTCTTTCAATAAACATATATATGTATCAGGCTTTCTCGGATCCCCATCCCCCAAATCATGACACGGAAACTTGTTATTAATTATGAATGCTCGGCCTTATCTTATGCTTGTCCCACTAACTCTTATAACTTAATTTAACCTGTTTCTCATCTACGTCTTTCCTCCAGGCTTTTTTACCTTTCTTTCATTCTGTATGTCCTACTCCATGTCTGGCTGGCTGGCAGCTACCCGGCTAGCTGGCCCTGGGTGTCTCACTGTCTTTCTCCCTTGTTCTCTCTCTCTCTTCCCGAGCCTAGATTCTTCCTCCTACTTATTTATATATGTCTGTGAATGCCTGCCTGGCTATTGGCCGTTCAGCCTTTTATTAGACCAATCAGGAGCCTTAGGCAGACAAGGAAAACAGCAATACATCTTTACATAATTAAACAAATGCAGAATAAATAAGTGCAACACACCTTTACATAGTTAAAGCAATATTCTGCAACATAAACAAATGTAACACATCTTTACATAGTTAAAGCAATATTCTATTCTGCAACATATATATAATATATATTGTTTAATGTCTATTATCGTGTTAATGAACATAACAACAAGGCTTTTCTAAAAATGTTGGCCTATTGAAAACGGTGCTGGGACTCAAGCCCAGGTCCTCTAGAAGAGCAGCCAGGGCTCTTAACTGGTGAGCTATCTCTCCAGTTCCTAACTATATCTAACTTTTGAATTGTATGTTTGTATATCTGTGTGTTTGTCTCTCTCTCTCTCTCTGTGTACATTGGTACACATATACATATGCACACATATGTATACATATGCACATGTATGTAGATGCCCTCAGAGTCCAGAATAGGGTGTCAGATCCCCTGGAGCTGGAGTAATAGGTGGTTGTGAGCTGCCTGACTTGAGTACTGGGAGCTGAATTTGGGTCCTCTACAAGAGCAGTCTATGCTCTTAACTGCTGAACCATCTCTCCAGCCCCTATGCAAGGATATGTGTTGGTTTGTCTTACAGTTTATAGTTCTAATATCGTTTTCCTCATCCACTTCCGTGTTATATATCATCCATTTAATAAACATAGGTTCATTCCTCACTCTTCCTATTCTACCTCTGGTTTCCCTCACATCCTGGCTGGAGTTAATTTTATTCATCAGGGAGGGGGATATGTGTCTCATTACCATCGTTCTAAGAACCAGTTACAGGA